CTCATGGCCACTGCAGTTTTGATTTGCTGGACTCAGGGGATCCTTCTGTCTCTGCCTTCCAAGTAGCTGAAACCACAAGCATCCACCACCATGCCCGGATAATTTTTTGATTTATTGTAGAGATGAGGTCTCACCATGTTGCCCAATCTGGTTTTGAACCTTTGGGCTCCAGCAATCATCTTGCCTCTGGTTCCCAAAGTGCTGAGATGACAGGCGTGAGCCACAGTACCCAGCCAGAGTTTGACAATTTATCTTTATTTTTTATTTATATTTTATTTTCTTAAATGTTCTAGTATGACAATTTTAATACAGTTTTCTCCTTTCTTAAAATGTAGCTTTTTGACTGAGTGCGGTGGCTCACGCCTATAATCCCAGCACTTTGGAAGGCTGAGGCGAGAGGATTGCCTGAGCCCACGGGTTCGAGACCAGCCTGGGTAACTTGGTGAGACCTTGTCTCTACAATAAATAAAAAAATTAGCCGGGTGTGGTGGCACACATCTGTAGTTCCAGCTACTTGGAAGGCTAAGGTGGAAGAATCACCTAAGCCCAGCAGGTCGAGGATACAGTGGCCGTGAACATGCCACTGCACTCCAGCCTGGGTGACAGGGTGAGAACTCCAACTGAAAAAAAAGTGGTTTTTTCAGCACCCTTTGTATTTGCGTAAGAACAAAAATATCAGGAGGTGGAAGGAGGGACCGGTCTGTGGACTGCTGGTTGTCAGGAAAGTAGAAAAAAGCAGACACTAAGCTAAGGAGGACCAAAGCACCCTGGGGGTGAGTCAAGTTCATGACTAATGTGAGATGCATAAAAGCAAGGGAGTGTTGAGCGTGCTAAAACAAAGACTGCCACCAGGAAAGAAAAGAGAGGTTTTATTCTGGCTCAATCAATTTGCGTGAGGATGCCAGGTGCTGATTTTTGTTAACCAGCTAGAAATGAGAAAGAGGCGAGGCACCAGGCAATAGTTATCAGTATGATGGGTAGTGATTTTGGAGTGTGACCACGGGACTCTTAAAGTCGACAGACTGGAGTATTCAGGCTCCTAAACTCAAGTGATCCTCCCCCCTCAGCCTCCCAAAGGACTGGGATTTCAGAGGTGAACTACTGTGCCCAGTGGCTAGATTGAGTTCTCATTCAATCACAACTTTCTGAAGCCAGCATCTTCATTGGAACATGGAAGAATACACCTTTCTAGGAGACCCAGGTTAGAAACAGCAGGTAGAGACCAGGCGCGGTGACTGCCTGTAATCCCAGCACTTTGGGAGGTTGAGGCGAGAGGACTGACTGAACCCCCGGGGTTTGAGACCAGCTTGGGCAAATTAGCAAGACTGTGTCTCTACAATAAATAAAATCAGCCAGGCATGGTGGCACACGCCTGTAGTTCCATCTACTTGGAAGGCTGAGGCAGGATTGCTTGAGCCCAGCAGGTTGAGCTATGGTGGCTGTGAGTGTGCCACTGCACTCCAGCCTGGGTGAAAGAGACACAAAGACACACACACACACACACACACATACACACACACATGCCGGGCTCAGTGGCTCAGCCTGTAATCCCGCACCTTGGGAGACTGAGGTGAGTGGATTGCCTGAGCCCACGGGTTCGAGACCCGCCCTGGGCAACTTGGCGAGACCTCATCTCTACAATAAATCAAAAATTAGCCAGGC